TTTTTTTAAGTTTCAAGACCAAAAAGTAACAATTTTATCTCGCTTCTTATGGAAAAAGAGAGAGAAACACGATGGTTCCAAAGACACGATTCGGTTGTTCACTTGTGACAGTCGGCATTCTAGAAATTGTAAAAGTACTGATAAAAAATAAGTGAATGGAAATGTAGAACGATTGGAACAAAAGCGTCCCATGTACTATGTAATTTTTTATTTCTTATTGGTACAGCCACTGAGTGTGGTTTTGCAGAAAGAATCTATAGGCCATCCGAAGGCATCAAAAATTTTAACTACTTTCTTTGCAACACTAAGCAATCGATAAATCCATGTAGAAGATCACTTTCATCTGTAACAGTCAAAATGTAAAAATCTGCACAAATGTACAAATCGTATGGATCACACATTGACATTGAAGTAAAAAAACCCAAAACCGAGAAGTCATCGAAACAATCATCGATCTCACAACTGTGAAGAATACTACCTACAAAATCTCTGCATACATACCCTCAATTGGAATGGTCACAGAGGGCGTGGTATTCCAAAGATGTTCTGAAAAGTTTTAATCTCAGTCTGCTGTCACCTAAGCTTAACATTCACTTAGAAGCAAAAGATACCATCGAACTTATTAACTGCCTTGTAGAACGTTTTAGTGAGGCTTTAAGCTTAGTATCCAGCTCTCAAGAAAAGCAAGAACTCTATATAAAATGAGGCGCAGTTTTCAAGAAATTTGCTACGCTTTCTACTACGGGTTTCTAAAGTTTTTTTTGGGAAAAAAAGAGCACAAGGCAACCCACGTTTACAACAGAAATATATGCCCGACCCATTATTTCTTGGCGAAAGAGTGAGGCAACAGGTTGTGAAATATCAGATGCCGAAATCATATCATTTTTTCTTGACCGTTTTCTTAAGAGCTGGAAACTAAGCTTAAACAAAAATTTTGGGTAGGATCAGGTTTAGCGTTTTGACAGCAGCAATCGAAGCTGAAAATTGAGTCCGGTATTCAAAATGCATCTGATATCGCGACACTCACACATTGTGATAATGATTTATGACCGACTATTAATACTCTAAAAGTTATTTTTGGACTTTTATTTTATTTGAAATAAAATAATCGGTCAACCCCGACTTTAGTTTTTAAAAGTCCAGTAATAACATTTAAATTTGGCCAAGTATTTTTTTAAGCCGAAATAAAAGTCTTTTCCTAATAAAAAAACGAGCTTTAAAAAATTGTAATCTTTAAAATTTAACGATTACGACTACTGTAGTCGTAATTGTACTTTTTATGATTACGATTATAGTTCTCGTAATCCAAAAAAAAACTATATAGTGCTTTTCCATGGTCAAGCATAGTCTCAGAAGTTTCAGTTTAATAACAACAAATTTGAATATTCGAATGGCTTTTGGCTATAACTTACAATTCTTTTTTCATAATTTACTGACATTGTAAAAGAGTTTTGCATACAAGACATAGAGTTAGATACTCTTTTTAGCGAATTTTTAGAATTTAGACATTTTAGCCTTTCAAAGTTTTGCGTAGTTGAAAAATGTAAATTTTAGCCATGAGGAATTATAGATGAAATCCTGAAATAGTGCTACTTTTCCACAGTTTGAAAAAACATGTAATTTTTTTTTTTTTTTTCAATACCACACTCAACGGAAGCAACTGAGAGGATCTTAAGTATAAAGTTTGCTTCCTGGCGCAAAAGGGAGAAACCGGCTTCTAATTAAAATTTTTTTTTGGTGAACTTCATATTAAAATTAATTTTAAAATGAAATGTATACAATTCTTTGACTATTTAAACAATGAAGATGGAAATGATCATGACATTATTTCTATTCAAAAATGTCATAGATAAAAAATTATTTATTGGCTTCTGTGCACACTCATGTTAAAATGAATAACACTTTTATTTTTTATGAACTATATTTTATTTATATACCAAAATATTGTTAAATAGTAGCGTTTAAAAGTATTATCTGATGCTTACATTTATAGTTTTGCTTTGAATAAAAATTTATGTATGAAAAGTACTGATTTCTTAGCATGGAAAAGTCCAACGTACTGAATGCCGGCATTGTTTATACAACAGTACTAACTACTAGATAAAATGTATATATGTATGTATGTATGTAACTCAAACTGGAAATTTATGAAGTGTAACTACTTTACATTGCAAGTTCTCTAATTTACGAAAAAAATTAACAACAGTGTTAATTCCGACAAATTCCACGATTTACATACTTATGTACATAAGTACGGGCATATGTATGTATATGCACATCTAGACATCTAGCGAACAACATACATACATAATGTACCTACATACATGGGTATGGGTACATAGAGAACAACTTGTTTTGCTTTTATTCCACTATCCTTTTCTTCTTATTGCTTAAATTATTTGCGGTTCCCACTCTTTTTTTCACATGCAATTCTGGAGTTACATATGTATGTACATACATAAATTGCATGCAATTCCACATGTACATATGTATGCTGAGCACGTCGAAAGGCATTTCTTTATTATTGCATCTACATACATATGTACGTATTCTTGATGTTGGGTCTGTGCCAGGTCTGTGCCATCAGTTCAATGGTAATTTGTTGGTGGCGGGTACACCAAAGGCACCCCCAACTGAAATCACGTCATTTAACATCAAATCGATTAACTAGCGTAATTTGCATACATAATTTAGGTTTAAAGCTATTATCGCTTCATTTCCTTGTATGTATATTTCTTCGATATCTTACCTATTGCTTTGTCATTCGGTTACAATAGAATGAGGCTGATGTTGAGGTTACTAACAGTAACTCTGATAAACAGTGGGTTTTGCTAAACAAAACTAAATTGTTTTTTTTTTTTTATAAACCGTATATAAACCTCATACTTAGTTTTATTCAATCACCCTCAGTTTTCCTTAAAAATTACATGAAGTGACTACGCGTATTTGTGTGCTCCTGACAAATTAGCGTTAAAACGGCATTTTTTGTGATTGTTGTTGCTACACATCGTAAGAGAATGCCCTGAGTGTATGTAAATCATCCTGATAACTTTTGTTATATTTGCGGTCAACTAACTGTTAAAAGTTAGTATCGTAGTAAAAAAAAAAAAACAAAATCAGAAACAGAAATTCCGAAAAATCAGCCATGCCAAAATAAAAATGGGAAATTTGTAGGGCCGCAAATTAGATACCTATTGGCTGATGGACAGTTTGAAGAAAAGCTTTATCCGATCGACAAATCCGCATTGACATGTTTTTGAAATGTTGTTCGTAACTTTTTTGGAAACCACAAAGCGGATAGCTAGAGTTGGTCAGCAACTTTTTAACAGCCTACACGAAAATGGGATGCAATATGTCGCTCAAGATAAATAAACTTCTTACACTCACATTTAAATTTTTCCCTGAAAATTTGGGTGGCGTTAGCGCGACGAACACGGCGAAGGGTTCCATCAGGATATATCTAACATAGAAGAATGGTACCAGGGAAAATGGAGTCCAAATATGTTAGCTAGCTGTTGGACACTAAAAAGGGATATACTTGATGCTAAATATTCCCGAAAATCCTAAATAAAATTAAAAGATTATTTATTTTTCTTCATTAAATATTGTTTTCAAGCGCATTTCATTAAATTTTACTTAAATGCTGTTGCAAAAAAATCAGGGTCATTGAATTAGACTTAGTAGATACAAAATAACCCTTTCAATTTCATTTAACTTTTATTAAGGTCATTTTTGTACATCAGTGTAATTATACTATTTAGCATTATGGAATGTGAGAGTGAATACCCGAATAAGAAGTGGTACATACTCGTACATATGTCAAATCGGCCAATGGTTGGAATCGTCCATTTTATGATTTGGATGAATTTTGGTTGGCACTTTTTTTTATCATTTAACGACGTTCTGCCGAAGGAAAATTCACTTCAAAAAATTCAAAATTCAAAATTAATTTTTTTTTCCTTAAGGTATCCAAAATTCTTAATTTCACAAATTCCCATATCGTCATCTGTACGTGGGTAACATACGACAATCTTTTACCCAGGTGACGATATGTTGAAAGTTTATTTTTTAGATATCTCAAAAACCAATATATAGTTACAAAAATTGTTCTGGTCTGGTTTTAAAATGATATTTAGCGCTATAAAGAAAAAATATACCTACACTGGTGGCCCGATAATTAGAAACTTATAAAAGTTTTCACAAATTTTTTTTATACAAAATACTTCAAATGATTTTAAAAGATTCTGAAATTTTTGAAAAGTGGTTTTTAAGATATCAGTTTTAGAATTATGAAAAAAATTATATTCAATTGAAATTTATTTTAAATTTAGATTTTGCAAAAAAAAAACTTAGAATTTCTAAGATTATCTCAAAAAAATACCATGTTGGAAATTTCAGAATCTCTTAAGATCAGTTAGCGGTACATATGTATTGTATAAAAAAAACTGTGCCCAAAATTGCTTCTATGTTGTCTTGAATTTCAAAATTCTGTAATTTTTTCAAATTGTTTTCAAGAATATTTTATATAGCCACAAATACCACCTTTAAAACGAGACCAGAACAATTTTTGTAACTATAATATTTTTGAGATATTCAAAAATAAACCCTCGAAATTTGGAAATTTCGTTATATGATAAAAGAAAAGTTCTAGCCGAAATTCCACATCAAAAATTGTCTATTCCAATCATTGGTCATTTGGCATTAATTAACCCATATGAATAAAAATTTTATTTTTGCAACCAAGATTTTTCTTTGATTTGCTTAAAATCTCTACTGTTAAGTGGCTCATGTCTTTAATCCTTGTCTAATTCACGTCAAACCCTCACTACTTACTTTAATAAGGATTTTACATGGTGTAAGTGTTTTTATTTTTTTAATTTTGATTTGAGTCTTTATTGCAGAGGGCCATCGATATGTATTTAGTTCAAACAAGTTTATTAAATTATGATATATATGTATATGTACATGTATACATACACATAACAATTTCTCTATTTTAGCTTATGCTGTCTAGCATTTTTCAACAATTTCGCTCAGTGCTCTACGGGAATGGACGATAATGAGAAGGAGGATACAAGCTTATTACGACCAAGAACGTATTCCATTAAAAATTGGATGGCGAAGGATAGAAGCATTACGCAAAGAGAAAATTATAAAAAATTTCAGAAGAAAGGATCGTCACACCGCTATGAACACGAGCCAATAGAGCGACACTTTCCCACTGACACAATAGAAAGGAGAAATTTTGATACTTACAAACCATTGACAAAAAATTCACACACTTTAAACAAGAAAATGCTTAAGTAAGTTTATATATATTTCCATTACGATATATTCAATATATATAGTCATGTGTAGAATATTAATACCCCTATTAATCGTTTGAAATCTGTTCATAAAGTTGTAATTCGCTATGCCTTTGCGGCAAAGACAAAAACATTAGTATGGATTATTTACTTGAGGTAGCGGAATCAGGCCTTATCTTTGTAATAATTCCATTTAATTAGTTGGTTTATAAATCATACTGATTTAATACTTTTTTATTTCACCTTACTTTTCTGCCCATGTATTTTCATTTTACACTGTGTAAATAAATAAATAACACAATGCAACAATCAAAAAGTGATGGGAATGAAAGCAATTGCATTCATTTAGGGAGGACCAAATAGAAATGTATACCAAAATATTGGTAAAATTTGGTTACCATTTTTTTATGTCGACTTGAAGTTGTAGATCTAAAAAAACTCATCAGAATTTACTTTTTTTTTAATTTTTAACAAAATTTTGGGTGTCCAGTTTATGCTCCAATTCTTAAATTGATCGATGCATTGTGGAAGGTTTAATTTTTTTATTTTTGATTAATGAACTTCTTTAAACTTATAGTATTTTATTATAAATTTTTATTTAAATAGTAAATTGGGATTCATTAAAGTGAAGGCACCTAACAGTCATCATAGAAAACGACTGGCTGTGGAATCAAGACGTCACACATCTCCAGATGATTCACATATGTTCATTATAAAGCTGCCACCGAATTTCGTATATTACACCAATCCAAAAGCTGAAGCTAATAGCATCAGTGACATCAAAACGAACTCACATAAGGTAAATAATATATGATAAATTAACCTAAATTCCAATTAATCGTAAGCACCGTCTGCTCGTACGTTTATATATACATTTGGGTGGTCCAAAAAAAAGTAATGTCGGAATTTCAATGCTCTCACAATTGGAAGAGAAACAGAAGAATTCTATACCATATATGTACTTGAAATATGTTTTTTTGATATATAAAATAAATACATGGAAAATAAAAAGAGCGGCATATTTTTCGATATAGAAAAATTCTAGGGGTAAGAGAATTAAAATTCGGACTTGACTTTATTGTTATTATGAACCTTTGGACTACCCTAATATATAAATTTAACAAACCATCTATAAAGTTGCTAAATATTTTCGTATTTGTTTCGTCCTCAGTCTACATACATATGTACTTACAACAAATGTCCTTTAAATTTTCTCCTTTTCAAGGTCTCTACCTTCCCATTTAGCTCAAATGGCAAGCCGGATCGCATATACCACTGGAATTTGCCAGTTCTACAGAAAATACTCGGAAGCAAACAAACACCGCCACATACTGATGTCAATGGCAAGAAATATATTATCAATTTTAAAAAATTTGCAAACTTTCAAAAACCATGGGAAAATGACAGTATTGAGAAATCCTATAAATCCAACTACAAAAAATCTTTAAATCATAAGTCACCTTCATATTATGCGCCAAATGCAGCAGTCAATAGAAATAGTTTTAATCGATATTTTTCTGCCAATGGCAAACCGAAGGGCTTCTATGTCATAAAGGAAAATCAGAAGAAAAATATTCATTATAAGAATATTGTGCCATGAAAACGTTCATAATTCTACTATTAAAATAACTGCATAGTTATGTATACGTACATATATTTTTGTATTACTTTACGATATTACTTTACGATATTTTCTAATGAATCTTAAAAAGAAAATCCTGGTCAACTTCATAAGATTTAAAATAAGAAAGAGACTTACATTACATTATTTACTATTAAAGCTAAATTAAGTGGCTTTAAACCTATGCAAAACAACAATAATTGTAATTCTAAATTCTAACTTAAAACTAATAAAACAGCGGACTCACTGCCAAATGATCGTACATATCGCACAGCTAAATCTAAAATGAGCTAGCTCAAAATTCAGAGAGGGAAATTTAACTGCTTGGGGATCGTAGATACAGATTCAATGCAATTAATACAAAAAAAAAAAAAAAAACAAAAAAAAAAAAATGTTTCCATTAATTGATTTATGCAAAAAAAAAATTGCCCAAAATTTTTTTCGAGTTAATCGCACTTTAGACTAGATGTGCGATTTGTAGTTGTTAGGCTTAAGTAAAAAGAAAACCATTCATTTAAAATATGCATAGGTATGTACATTGAACTGTACCAGTAAAGTATTTTTGCAACTAAGTTTAAAAAAAATTGCCGAACCTCGGAGTCGCATTCTTACATTTTATAGTGACGTTGGGCAATAAAAAATATTTAAATAATTCTGCTGCAAAAATCGAAATACTCACTTCCTTAACAAAAGTTGAATAGTTTTTGGTGATCTTAAATTTACTGTCATTAAGGTGGTTCGTTGGCGCGCTGTCACTGAGTGCTGTTGAGTAAGTAAATACTAGAACGGTGCACTTAAGATCTGAAGGTAAATGCCGAAAATATGACAAAAAAAGTATACTTTAAATTCGAAGGTGTATGGCGAACTTTTTTCTGGTACAGTCTAATGTATTTGCAAACATACTTATATATAAATTTGTATGTATACAAAATCACTAATTGAAAAGTTATTCAGACAAGTTTTCGCATAATAACTAGAGCTCGTGTTAATCGACTAATCGGTTAATCAATTGGCAAACTTTGTTTCAAAAAATAATCGACTTCACTTAATCAACTAAACGTTTCGTTTTGACTTTTCAACTAACCGCTCACAAGCAACTAATCGACTAACCGTATATTTTCGTTTTTTCGACCAGTTGTTTATTTTAAAAGATATTGGTTAATTTTTATTTTTTTACATAAAATACCTATGCTTACTGACAAAACCCAGCTGTCCTAATAGCAATAATTTTATTCGCATAAATTTGATTAGTATATTTTCAGGCTGCTCGATGGCGAGCGGTTAGTCGAAATTGAGCGGTTAATCGAATCGAGTATCAACCGACAAAAAAGTTGTCAATCGACTATTCGACTAACCGAATAGCCAGATAGTATATTTTTACAAGAGCTCTAATAATAACTCGGCATAAAAATTTGGTGTTATGTATTACTTTTTATTGAGTTCGCGTTTCTTTCTTTGCATACACACATATTTATTTGAGTATTTACTTTTATAGGGAATATGTTGTACAATTTACTGAAGGCATATTCTCAAAAATTTTAAACCGACAATTAACAAATTTTATGTATCGAAGTCTTCCAATTGCGCAAATTATTATTTCGTATATTTAATTCAAACTGCTTTAAAATATACATAACTATGTACATAAGTATGTTTTATTTATGTGTTTATTTTCATTTTTCTTAAATTTTAAATGAAACTATAAAAGACTGGCCGTAGTTGATACTTTGGTGACTACTTTGTATAACTACTGCTTACAAAATGTATGCAAATTACAGGGCAATTCTGGCAACTGTCTTTCACCTCACCACAGTTGTCTATTCTGGCAACTATCTTAAAAGTTGTTTACTGTCTTTCGAGGGACTTCAATTAGTCTGCTAATCTGCTAACGCTGTTCGCCTTTTCACAATATTTTTTTTTATTAAAAAAATATATGTATATTTTTTTTTTTCAAAACAATCAAAAGTAAAAAATAAAACATATTTAAATAAAGCAAATAAAAAAAAATGTTTTTTTAATTGAATAAAATTTGAAATTGAATGAAAGAAAAAATTTACTTAAAAAAATCCGCTGGAATTCGGATCTTTTTTCTACGACTTTTTTGCTAGAATAACAAAAGTCTTTCGAACTAGGATCTTGCCATCTCTCTTTCATTTGCCTTACGAAAAATTTTTTTCTATCTTAGCCAGAATTGTCCTGTTAGTCTACTTCTTTGTTTTATTAAGCGGAAAAAATGCAGTTTCATTAGTTTGGTTTAAATATAAATGTGAAAGCTAAAAATTAATTTGACTTGAAACCTTACTCAATTAACATAATAAAGTAACTACTATGTATATATATATATATTATGTACATATGGGGAAATCCACGAAACATTTATAAAAATAAAATTCAGTTTGAAATTTTGAAGCACAGATTTTTAACTTTTTAGGCAGCTCCTTAGACATTTTTAAGTTGCAACTGTGGTACTCGTTTTTAGTTATGCCGCAAAAAATTAAATTCATCGCGAGAATGTGTTTTTTTTTTTAATAATTTAAAAAATTGAAATATAAGGTTTCGACTTTTTAATTCAATTTATCTCATTTGTTTTCTCCGTTATTTATTTATGTATAATATAAAAACTGTTTGGAACTGTTAATATCTCGTGGAAAATCAGCGTACTTGTCACTCACGTGTAGACCTCAAAAATGTTTGATTCGTAATCTTTCAAAGCTTTCCAGAGACTTTCTATCAACTTTCATCTTTATGGATATCCGGATAGTCATGTATCCAACACACAAATGTCCACATGCATTTCATTGTTTTTTCATGTGTAGTAGAGTAGACAAGCGAGTATAAAAAAAAAAGTCAAAGGTTTCGTGAATTTCCTCAAATGTAGAAAAGATAACTTATGCCCTAACAACTATCTACCTAACTTTATATCTTAAAACGGATTCACAACTACTAAAATTGTATGCCATGCATTCCTGTAAAGCAAATTGCTTACCTGTCAAACTAACTGCTTAGACGATTTACTATAAAATTATATTTTGTACGTAAACACCCGAGAAACTAATTCTTATTATATTATTAGTTGCAGAGATATGTGTGCTTAGTACATATTTACACATGTGTATGCATATCGTCACTTGAAATGCAAAAATTCGTAACTTATAAAAAATTCAAAATTCACTTTTCACTCCCTACATCGTTTTATAAAAAAAAAAAAAATATTAAATAGTCACAACTTTTTCTATTTCAGGTGACGATGTGTTAATAGGGGCTATACAAGATATCATTAGTCTAGTCTTTTCTTATGTCGTTAACTTGTTTGCGATTTAGAAGACTTGAAATCACATCTCTTATTTAACTGACAACATTGCGACGCTTACGACACTTTAGGGAAAACCCCATACATATTTATGTACATATTGTACGTTTTCCGGGCATGTCACTGAAGAACAAGTATTACAGCTTTGTAAGCTTCTACAATGGCATTTTAAAATAGTGGTAATACAAAATAAATTTAGTAGTATACATACATACATATGTATAACGAATGGGTATCGCAAATAAATCAAAATAAATAAAGTTACAAAATGCATTTTTAATTGATAGCAAGCGCAGTGGTGAGATCCTAGTATTTCGCATTGCACAGAATATTTCCTGGAGCAACAAATTCGAAGAAAACTGTAGGCATTTTAATACGAGTATTCTGCTGGAAAGAATTCTACATACATACATATGTATGTACATACAAACATATCGTCGTTTAAAGCACAACACCGCGTATGAACAAAATGCCAAACCGCGTATATGAGGTTGCATAAATAATTTTCTAGAGAATAAAAACACTCAGATTTCAAAAGGGTTATTTTTTTATAAAGCAATCGCATTTCTGGCTAGTATATTTCAGGACGAAAGGATAAGGATTGAGCTAAGAGATTGTGTGAGCAAATCCAATTTTTGGCAGCCAATGTCGGTGACGCGGTTTTGTACTTAAACGACGATATATACGTAGATTGATTCCGATACGCATCCATAATTTCGTAAAAAAATTACCATGGAGTTATTGAGACAATTTAATTATTCCAAATTGGACAAGTACATATATATGTACTAGAGATGTAAATTTATTCGCTTTTTAAGATCCCGGGATTTTCGGGATGTCAATATCACAATCTCGGGATCCCGGGACTTAGATATTCATTACTTTTCAACAACTTAAATCGAAAAAATTGCTTATATATTGTTTGAGAAGCCCTCCTACTATAAAATAAATAATAAATAAATGGGTTTGAAACCTAATTTTTTATTTAAAGTGGCGTTTTTATTTGTTCTCTCTGGCGTCAGGATTTATTTTAAAGGACTTTGTAACGCCAAAGACATGATGAATTTCAAAACTTATTTAAAAAATGCAATGCAATGTAGAAATAAAATATGGGTACCAAATGAAAGAAGCAATTTCTTCAGTTAAAAAATTATTTAAAAAATATTAAAATTTTTTGGATTTACAAGGACAAATAGGTAATTTTTTACGTTGATAAAGTTAGGAGGATGAAATTCGAGGAGAATTTTATAAAGACATTTTCAATACTAACCAGGAATTAAGCACCAAAAAATTGAATCTGCTTAAATTCTACAGAATTTTCTCTTTAAGTGGATACCCATACTTCTTCTCTGAAACGAAAACTCTGTAAATGATTGAAACGATGTATGTACTGAATATTTTTGTGTATTAACAATAATTACTGCAAATGTATGCCGTCGATTGAAAAAGACTACAAAAATTTTATGTGCGTTTTTTTATGTTTCTAAAAGTATTTTGTGCATCAAATTACCAAAGTTTTTGTTTTACAGGACTAAAGTTAGCAAAACGCAGATTTTATTGCGCAGTTCGGCAGAATATCGCTTCGTTAACCACATTGGTTCCACAACTTTTTCAATTCAAGAATATTCTAGAAATGGGCGTGGCTATATTAAAACCAAAGGTCATA